GCGAGCGGTTGAACGGAAGCCTGTCGGGACGGCGCCAGGCGTTGAAGTCTCCCCGTTAGTTACGCGCGCACTAGCACCACGCGGCGGCTGGCGCCGTGCCGCCGCGTTCCCGGTCAGCCGTGTTTTAGCGTTCACTGACGGGTCGAAGTGATTATTCTAAGCTTTCCTAAGAAGCTTCCTGCCCCACAGCTCATTATTGAGCAAGAATATCGCACAAACTGCATAGAACATTGACATGCAGGTTGTCGGCACATATGGAGAAGGGGATGTTTTGGTTAATGCCTCCTCTAATAGGAAGAGATTGTGGAAGAACAACACATTTCTCTTGGAAATTACTCATCCTCCTTCTTCCTACGTGCCTGCTTTAGTAATCGAAGTACCCCTATTGACTCTACGTTCTTGATTCGGCTGTCGATTTTATGCATGGAATTCCGCTATATTATATTTTCTCGCTCAATGTCCCCTGAGCTATATTGAGGCGTCACGGGACAGCAATGCTCAGCACACAACTGCAGAGAAAAAGTCAATGTGGTCATGCGTTTTGTATGCCAAAATGTGTGAGCCATGGTGTGTACCAGCAGCCGTTGTCACCATTGTAATTTTCACGACTTTATCTTTATAAGGATGCAATTGCCCACTTCCCAGTTCCCAGACTGGGTTTGGAGATATAGTTTTACAGAAACATTTAGGAATGTCTGTAATGTAAGTTAAAAGCTAATACCGAAAGGAATCCACATATTTTCGAATTTCCTGTTTGCTGTATTGCTTAGTAAATGCCAGACGTCATGATGGCATGGTTGCGATTGATGGTATGCCGGATGGCCAGGGTACGAACTCACGGTAAGTCAGCTTGGCCGGCAGGCATCAACAGGCACAATAGTCTTACACTGATATCGTCACCCTCAGTTATTCGTCATCATTCAGCAGCAGGTCCAGAGCTTCGGGCTTTGAACCGTAAGGCACAGGTGTAGGAGCAAGACATTGCGCCGATTCGAAGGGCTGGAAGGGCAGCATCGCGGGGGCTGGAATGCGCCTGAGCGGCTGAGACCATCCCATTGGGACGGGGGTGTTCTGGGTGCACTCAGCCGCTCATGCTGGGAAATGCATCCAATGGAGCTCTACCCCATTCCCACCCGTTTCGAATGATTAGGCTGACCTTTAGTCTAGAACAAAGAAGGATGATGGTTGGCTGGTCCCGAGGATAGAAAGGACAGGTAATGACATCATATAATGAATCGAAGACGGCCCCGGCCCGATCCTCTGATAGAGGCTCATCAACACGTATCTCGTTGTGGACCATTTCGTTTTCCTCCACCGTGGTTTTTGCACCGACCTCAACGGGTTGGAAGATTACGATGTTCAGAAACCATTAAGGTCGTAATTGTATATTCGTTGAGTTAGGTTAGTCTTTCCATTCCATGAAGACTACTTTATAATTATTGGATGATAGGATGAGGTTTTCACTGTGTTGAACCTGTCCTACCTGCTCAGTGAACGAATATACAACGAATATACAATTACGATCTTAATGGTTTCTGAACATCGTTACCTTCCAACCGGTTCAGGTCGGTGCAAAAACTACGGTGGAGGAAAACGAAATGGTCCACAACGAGATACGTGTTGATGAACATCTATCAGAGGATCGGACCGGGGCCGTCTTCGATTCATTATATGATGTCATTACCTGTCCTTTGTATCTATCCTCGGGACCAGCCAACAGTCATCCTTCCTTGTTCTAGACTAAAGGTCACCCTAATCATTCGAATGGAGAGCTCCATTGGATGCATTTCCCAGCATGAGCGGCTGAGTGCACCCAGAACACCCCCGTCCCAATGGGATGGTCTCAGCCGCTCAGGCGCATTCCAGCCCCCGCGATGCTGCCCAATTCCAGCCCTTCGAATCGGCGCAATGTCTTGCTCCTACACCTGTACCTTACGGTTCAAAGCCCGAAGCTCTGGGCTTGTTGCTGAATGGTGACGAATAACTGAGGGTGACTATATCAGTGTAAGACTATTGTGCCTGTTGATGCCTGCCGGCCAAGCTGACTTACCGTGAGTTCGTACCCTGCATGGCCATCCGGCATACCATCAATCGCAGCCATGCCATCATGACGTCTGGCATTTAATAAGCAATACAGCAAACAGGAAATCGAAAATATGTGGATTCCTTTCGGTATTCGCTTTAACTTACATTACAGACATTCCCAAATGTTTCTGTAAAACTATAATATCTCCAACCCCAGTCTGGGAACTAGGAAGTGGGAAATTGCATCCTTATAAAGATAAAGTCGTGAAAATTACAATGGTGACAACGGCTGCTGGTACACACCATGGCTCACACATTTTGGCATACAAAACGCATGGCCACATTGACTTTTTCTCTGCGGTTGTTTGTGTGCTGAGCATTGCTGTCCCGTGACGCCTCAATATAGCTCAGGGGACATTGAGCGAGAAAATATAATATAGCGGAATTCCATGCATAAAATACACAGCCGAATCAAGAACATAGAGTCAATAGGGGTACTTCAATTACTAAAGCAGGCACGTAGGAAGAAGGAGGATGAGTAATTTCCAAAAGAAATGTGTTGTTCTTCCACAATCTCTTCCTATTAAAGGAGGCATTAACCAAAACATCCCCTTCTCCATATGTGCCGACAACCTGCATGTCAATGTTCTATGCAGTTTGTGCGATATTCTTGCTCAATAATGAGCTGCGGGGCAGGAAGCTTCTTAGGAAAGCTTAGAATAATCACCTCGACCCGTCAGTGAACGCTAAAACACGGCTGACCGGGAACGCGGCGGCACGGCGCCAGCCGCCGCGTGGTGCTAGTGTGCGCGTAACTAACGGGGAGACTTCAACGCCTGGCGCCGCCCCGACAGGCTTCCGTTCAACCGCTCGCAGCAGGCTAGGTTTTTGTCCTAGATTTTTTTGATTGGTATCCTACGGCTTCAAACATGCCAGGGACCAATAAAATTAAGTAGTGAAGACGATTAAAAAAAATCAAAATTCGACGATACACCCTAATGGGTACTTACCGATGGGTATGTCTATCAATTACCAAATCCTCGAGCAGTTTGGGCTCAATACTGCTCCACCAAATTGGGAGCTACGCTGCTGGCCATAACAGATACACCTGCAGTCTGCACCCTAATTTTCCTATTGGCCAGGAAAGAGTGGGTCGTTCATCACCAACTTGCCACTAAAAATCCCGGCGTGTTTCAGCCGTCCAGGAGGAGCGCGGCCCGCGGCGGTGCCGGGCCCGGCCGCGTCATTCGAGCTCCCGTCGTCCGCCAGTCGCCGCCCCGTCCCCACCACCACCGCGAGCTCCCCACATTCCCCACCCTCCCCACGCCCCACCGTCTGCGGCGACGGCGGCGGCGGTGCCGGAGGCGGTCCACCTGCTGTCGCTGTTCCCGGCCAGCGACCAGCAGCTGCTGCTGTCCGGCTGCGCGCGGCTGCTGCTGCTGCTGCGGCTGGCCGCCGGAGCGGAGGGCAGCGGCCGGCTGACGCAGCTGGCGGCCGCCGTGCAGCAGATGCGGCTGGATCAGACGGAGAGCAGGCTGCTCGAGCTGCTGGCCGTGTTTGACGCAGGTGAGCTTGTCTTTTTTGTCGGATGTTTTTCGTGTGGACTAGGAAAGCATGTTTTGAAAATGAGCCACGGGATGTAAAGGCGCCTCGATCGCCTGCTATTTTTCTTCCCCTTGCAGCTAAGTAGCTGCCGGAACAAAACCTTTAAACCAAGGTTTAAACGGGTTCTTATACCGTGCGGCCGGTGAGGAATAGATGCGTAAAGTGGTGCTCAATGACTAGCCGAGATTATCTGGTAGCATTCAAAGAAAAATCAATCTTAACCCGTGTCTTAGCAGAGCTTTGATGTTTCCCTGTTAGTTCTCCAGCTAACGAAGGTCGATATGTAGGTATTTGTTCTTCACACCGTCAATTCAATTATGATGTATTTTCCACTAAATTCAGCTTTCAATTCATGACACGGCCTGCCCCTGCTTCAGGTCTGTCTCCGCTCTTGCTGCGAGGTCAGCTCGTCGTCTACATCCAGTCGCACCTCCAGGAGCTGCTGTCCTCCCACCTGGCCGTCAACTGCCGCCAGCAGCCCCGCCTGCGACAGCATCAGCTGCTACAGCTGCTGGCCCTCTGCCGGGCCATTCAGCAACTAGAGCTTCGGGGTGCGGCCACCGCCGCCCGTCCGGCTCTGTCTGCCACGGACTCGGACCGAGGCTGGCTTCAGTTTCTGCCTGGAGCATGGCCGGTCTCTCTGCTGTAGCTCAGGTGACCCAGGAGGTCAGCCCCGTTCGGATCAGGTCACTGGAGTCGGGACTGGGTCAGAACACTGGATTAAACCTCACTGTCGAGCTGCCCAGTGCCCAGAGCAGACCTCCGGGCTCCGGAACATGTGGGCACGACTATCCGCCTAAGATGGGAGGCATAGCCAGGACGTAGGCTTGGATATGTTACCGTTGAATAAGTCTCATCAGGGCCATACATTGTTCATCACACACGCCCGAACCAAATTAACCATACGGGTTTCATGTACAATCACGCATGTGAAAACTGCCGAGAGCCACTAGCTTGTCATATACGATTATCATGTCTGAGAAAACAAGAAGAAGACAGTGATGCTATTTCGTGGATGTCGCAACAGATTGATGTTGCACGACTTGTATCAGTTTCTACTGCACTATATGTGTAAAAAAAAATCCAATGAACTTGCGTGTTGTTTCGATATTAACTTCTAAATGGAATTGGTACGTTCCATGCATCAAAGCTAAATCGAATGTTTACCAGCACGGGCCAGCAAAAGCCACCAGCTGTTCTTACTAAGCCCGTCACAATCGCCGCTGAAACACGATAACGTTCTCTTTCAAAAAACATCCTTTTCGTTCTACCAATCTTACAGCAAATCAGCTCTCGAATGCCCCCAATCCTTTGCCATCATCGCTCACATTATGTCATTTTCTCCTTGGCATGAAGCCTCAAAACAGGTATTAACCACAAAATATAAAACATTTATTTGCCCAGCTTCGGGCCATTATCTTCAGCGATAAATACACATAAATATAAATTCAAGTAAGTACAAAACGGGGCGATCTCGTGTAATTAATGCCGAGGATGCCCGAGCTGAAATAGATCGGCACCGTCAGGCCGAACAGGAAAATGTGAAAGACGGTGGCCACACTGAACTTTCCGGACCGGAAAAGGTCATGTCACGCGACCAAGGACACTCGAAACTGCTGCCATCTATCAGGGAGGAGAATAGCGTCAACAAAATGGCAGCCAATACCCAAGCCTCAATCGCAGATCGCAATAATATTCACATCATTCACACTATTATGTATACCTCTTGGAAATAATCGTACCAAAATGTCCCACAGTCGAGTTATTTAAAGCATGCTTGTTACATCCAATAGCTCGCGAAGGGAAATCCTGGAGTGACACCAAGCTAATATCTAAGCGCGGCCCCAATTAGAGCGTCAGGAATGTCAGAAAATCAGGCCGGCGGCCGGAAGACAGCGCAAATCTGGCAGCTCCACGGCAAGCCGGTATCCACAGTCTGTCTGTTTGTACCATTGCGTGTGGTAACACGAGTCAATGCTAAAATCCCTCACAGCTAGCTGGGCCGGATCGGATCGTACAGCATTCCAGTTACAATAGCGACGCGGATACAGTATTATAGACAACCTCGCCGAAGCATTATCTGACCCGAGCGCAAGGCACCTCATCCATGGAGCATAAAATAAGGCACAAGAACATACAGCCGCCCGAAGTACGGTAATCGCACGCGGAGTGAGCTCATACTATGCACTGACAAAATATAAATCTCTCGTCTGGCATGGCATCCTAATGACCCACGTGACCGAGCCTGCAGGAGTTCAGTGGGAAGCACGCCATATCACGTGACAGCCCAACTATAGAGCGTTCACCCAGGAATGTGTTGGCGAACACCACCTCTCATCTCTTTCACGGACCTCACGAAGTCAATATGCTACAACAGCCCAGGAAGAATAAGTTGTGTTCGCACAATGTGGGACAATCGTGCCTCCGGGGGCGCAAAAACTGCACACCAAGCACAATATTCATTGTGACTTTTGCCACCATTTGATTGAATGCATACAGCTACCATCGATAGAATAAAACTGGCGACGTGAGCACCGAATGCCCAGCTGCCCCTCATTATTCCCTAGGAAGACAGCTCTGTGTCGAGTGATAAAAACATCAGTCACTTCATTACTTGAGCCGGATAGCTAGCTGCGTCATGCTTTTGCGGCGCCTCAGCTTCACAGCGGAGCTCTACAACGCCTCTCACCAGGCAGGCGTCACCGTTCCACGATCAAGTTACTCCTTTACACATCACGTTCGCCCCACCAATACAGGAGGCCATCCGTCTGCGTTCACGTGCAACATTAACGAACAGCGTCCTCCCAGTGCTCAGCTGCTTCTGCGGGCAGATGAAGCTGGCTGCAGCCCACCCCACTGTTGGGGCTCAGACCATGGCGTTTCTCAATTTCCACTTAAGGGATGGAGTCGTCAATAACGGAATAGAGACGCTGATTAATCTAAACAACGGAAGAGGGCGCTACTCCGAGCCCCAGCGACCGTCAAGGGTCCAAGCGACCAATCATGGTACTTCACAATCTTTCAGCGAGCAGTCGGAGCCTCAGTGATCGATTCTAGACTCAATTCAGTCTCAAAGCGACCAAAAGTACGATCGTCGGCCCTCCAGATATGGCTCCAGACAGCCCTCAGCCCTCAGTCTCTAAGCAACCGAGCTCGATCCTCTTCGATCCTCAGAAGACGACCCTCAATCCCTTACCAGCAGACCGTAAACACTCCTCGGTCACAGTGCCTGGCGTCAGAGTGTAGCCAGCTGCGGCATGCTGTGCAGATTGCCCACCGAGTTGACGCCCAGGCTGATGGTGTCGGCGCGTGGTCGGCTGTTCTGGTGGGCCACCGCCACCGACAGACAGCGCACCCACTCTTCCGTCTTCTTACCGTCCTAAAGAGGGAGCGAGACGTCAGAAAATGTGTTATACAGAAGAGTTTGACAATACTAAATCAATAAGTCGATTGTGAATGGCTGACCACCGATACACACTGCCGCAGACAGACGCCTATGACCTATCCAGTTCGGCCACACTCAAACACAAACCACGAACAAAGAAATTGCATTAGAATACAAAATATAAGCTGCAGCTACACAGTCAAAGTCAATTATTATTATTCATTTCTACATAAGTTCAGTTTAAAACAAACTCATCTGACTAGAAACAATAGGAACTTCTGAGTGATACTGGCCGGCTTGCTCTCTCCGCTGGCAATCCTATAGACACTGGACTCTGTTCCCTGGCACTCCTGTCGTTAATCAACACCGGACAGATCACATCTCTGATCCTTTCCCACCCCACCCTGTGCTCTGTTCACGCTTACCTTGGCTTTGAGCACGTAGGTGCGGTCGTGGGTGAAAATCTCGAAAGCCTTGGGTATGTTTCGCCCGCTGCGAGAGACCTTGACCGAGCGAATCTCGTGCACGCCGATCTCGTGGTTGTCCAGTCGCGGTTGCTCAGACTGCCGAACGAAACAGAAGGCAAAAGTTTAAAACAGATCAACTGTTAAACGCCCGCTAGGCATGGGTGAGACGGTTTCCACATCGCACTTCTGGTCGAGGGTAGGCAAAAATATATAGATATGACTCTTTTTCTAAAAACGCAAGAAGCTAAACGAAAAAAATTAAACCAATGTGTAGAAAAGTCGATAGCATCGTCATCCCGATATTGAATAGAGACTGGACTTGGAGACTACGTATCACCCTTCCTCATAATATTTTGTCATACCATGGCTACTTTCAATAGATTGAGTACTCGCAACTCAGCTGCGATTGAGTTATCTACTCACACATCTGTAACTGAGATGAGCCCCCGACAGAGTGAAGTAGCGTGTCCGCCAGCGTTTGAAGATCTTCCAGCGTCCCTTCTTCTCCTTCAGCTGACCCTCCATCACCGGCTGGTCCGGCTGCGGACGCAGGTCACGAGAGGTCAGGTCACGAGAGGTCACAGGATATCAGGTAGCAAGAGAAGTCAAGTCGTGGGAAATCATGTTACGGGGGGTTAGGCTACAGGATGAGTAAGGTCACGGGAAAGGTCAGATCACAGGTTATCGTTCAGAGGTCAAATAAGGATCGGCAGATACGTGGGCATGAATAAAAAACACGGGCAGGAAAGATTAGTTCATATGAAGTAGTAGGCACACGTTATATGAATGGTCATGCCAGAGTTCGACTTCGTAAGTAGCTATTTGATTTTGAAAAATTCAAAGCATCATTTTTTGTAGCAAAACTCGACCACCAAACTAATATCCGTCTCGAATCGTTCACCACACCCAGGTGGATGCACTTCCCTGCCAGCCTCCCCTCCCTCACACAAAGCTCACACTGACCTTGACGAATCCCTCGGCCTTCTCGGGGTGATTGCAGAGGAAGCAGCCCCACTGCTGCTGCATTCCGTTGTACTCGAACACGTCGAAGAAGCGCGCGCTCCGCAGCTCCTGTAGTAGTACGTCCGTCTCCTGAGCAGCACAGACAAAGAGCAAAGTGTCAGTGAGGCAGATTAGAATGCCACTGAGGCAGGAATGGCGTGACACGGAGGGGGAGGGAAATAGGGTGTCAGTAAGGTAGAAAAAGAGTCAAAAGACTGGGATAGTACCTACGGCACGGAAGAGATCACAGGGTCAACGGAGCAGCTGTGGAGTAGCGCAGAGGTCATCAGTATGTCAGCGAGGCAGGACAGGGAATCAACAAGTCAGGCATAGTTATCATGTCACGGGGAAAAGCAAAGTGTCAGTGAGGCCCACCGGGATACTAACGGCAAGAATGCCGAGGTAGGGGCAGAGTTTCATCGATGTAAGGGTGTAAATCACAGTGTAAAACAGAGGTTAAGGGTGTAAAACACTAGCCGGTCATCAGCGAAACAAGGGTGTTGATAGGAAAATGTAAAGAATTTCGAGTGACAAAACAACCTCGGAGACGCACTCATGTGAGCACCTTGCTATCATCGAACAGCTTTAGTGAAATCCCCTGGTTCTCGTTAATTAAGATGGAGCGCTTATCGATTCAAAAATGACTTGTATTAATTAGCTCACGCCCCAGGCGTAGCTCCAACGGGTCGGTCTTGTTTCCAGCCCCGAATCAGTCGGTTCAACCCCACAGTACCAGTGCCCCGCGTATTCAGTGTCAGCCATTCTGCATCAGTCCCCCCGCAAGCCCAGAAAAGTGATCTCCCTCTGCGATGCCTTAAAAACTTCGATTTATTTCTTTGGTTTATTTATCAACATAACAAAACAATACAAGTCAAATCACAGCACTTGCGAATGGCAATAATCTCAGCCATACATGAAGACGGTAAGCCCCCTCTGCTACACAATAACACATCACGATCAAGATAACATATTGCTCCTTCGCTGCATTGAAAGTATCCAGGCGAGATACCCGTCTTCGGACACCAAAACACAGATGGTACAAAAAACAAAACACTCTGCTTGAGTATACTCTCTGCCACACCAGAGCTGGCGGGCACTATCCTACACGACTAGGGAACCCGTCTTCTTCAGTGAAAGACTCGAACGATCGCCTTAGTCGACCTCCTCAACAGTGGGTCCCTGGTTATCCTGTCCGCCGAACTGGCCTCCCTGCTGTCCGCCGAACTGGCCGCCCTGCTGCCCGCCGGCGCCGTGCAGCTTGGCCATGACGGGGCTGCAGGCCGACTGCAGCTCCTTGAGTCGGTGCTCGAACTCGTCCTTCTCGGCCAGCGAGTTGTTGTCCAGCCACTTGATGGCGTCGTCACAGAGCTCGGTGACGCGCCGCCGGTCGCTCTCGTCCAGCTTCTGGCCGGCGTCGTTGACCGCCTGGCGCACCGAGAAGACGTACGACTCGAGCTGGTTGCGCGCGGCCACCCGCTCGCGCTGCGCGTCGTCCTCTGCCTTGAAGCGCTCGGCCTCGTTGACCATGCGCTCGATGTCGGCCTTGCTGAGGCGGCCCTTGTCGTTGGTGATGGTGATCTTGTTGGAGCGGCCGGTGGACTTGTCGGCAGCGCTGACGTTGAGGATGCCGTTGGCGTCGATGTCGAAGGTGACCTCGATCTGGGGCACGCCGCGCGGCGCCGGCGGGATGCCGGTCAGGTCGAAGCGGCCGAGCAGGTTGTTGTCCTTGGTCATGGCTCGCTCGCCCTCGAACACCTGGATGGTGACGGCCGGCTGGTTGTCCGAGTATGTGGTGAACGTCTGCTGCTGCTTGGCCGGGATGCGCGTGTTGCGCTCGATCAGCTTGGTCATGACGCCGCCGGCCGTCTCGATGCCGAGCGAGAGCGGCGCCACGTCCACCAGCAGCACGTCCTGGATGGCCGAGCTGGAGTCGCCCGACAGGATGGCCGCCTGCACGGCAGCGCCGTACGCCACCGCCTCGTCCGGGTTGATGGACTTGTTCAGCTCCTTGCCGTTGAAAAAGTCCTGCAGCAGCTTCTGGATCTTGGGGATGCGCGTCGAGCCGCCGACCAGCACGATCTCGTGGATGTTCGCCTTGTCCTTCTTGGCGTCCCTGAGCGCCTTCTCGACGGGCTCGAGCGTGCCGCGGAACAGGTCCATGCACAGCTCCTCAAAGCGGGCCCTCGTCACCTTAGTGTAGAAGTCGATGCCCTGGAAGAGCGCGTCGATCTCGATGCTGGCCTCGGTGCTGCTGGACAGCGTGCGCTTGGCTCTCTCGCAGGCGGTGCGCAGCCTCCGCACGGCTCGCGCGTCGCCCTTGAGGTCCTTCTTGTTCTTGCGCTTGAACTCGTCGGCCAGGTGGTTGACGAGTCGGTTGTCAAAGTCCTCGCCGCCCAGGTGCGTGTCGCCGGCCGTGGAGAGCACCTCGAACATGGAGCCGTCGGCGATGCTCAGGATGGAGACGTCGAACGTGCCGCCGCCCAGGTCGAAGATGAGCACGTTCTTCTCGCCGCCGAGCTTCTTGTCGAGGCCGTAGGCGAGCGCGGCCGCCGTCGGCTCGTTGATGATGCGCTTGACGTTCAGGCCGGCGATCCTGCCGGCGTCCTTGGTGGCCTGGCGCTGCGAGTCGTTGAAGTAGGCCGGCACCGTGATGACGGCGTCGGAGATCTTGGAGCCCAGGTACGCCTCGGCCGTCTCCTTCATCTTGGTCAGCACCATCGAGCTGATCTCCTCGGGCGTGAACCGCTTCCGCTCGCCCTTGTACTCGACCTCGATGCGCGGCTTGCCGGCCTCGTTGGCCACGGTGAACGGCCAGTGTTTGAGATCCTGCTGGATCTTGGGGTCGTCGAAGCGCCGGCCGATGAGCCGCTTGGCGTCGAACACGGTGTTCTTGGGGTTCATGGCCACCTGACCTTTGGCGGCGTCTCCGATCAGCCGCTCCGTGTCGGTGAAGGCCACATAGCTAGGTGTGGTCCGGTTGCCCTGGTCGTTGGCGATAATCTCCACCTTGCCGTGCTGGAACACGCCCACACACGAGTAGGTCGTGCCCAAGTCTATTCCGATCGTCGGAGCCATCCTCGTGTGAATGTTTTCAGTAGCTTTCGAAATAACGCAATTCGCAAATCACGATACGTCGCTGTTAGCACAGTAGCAGTGTTGCGCACTGTCGCCCGTACTCTATTGCTCTCAATGAGACTTCTGGCGCTGGGACTCAACAGCCGCGCTTATATAGTTGGTCCACCGAAACGGCTCCCGTCGCGTTGTTTCGCGTGTTCTCCCGAACGCTGGGAGCTCCGTGAGTTTACTCTATCTTTCACGAAAACTCGGGACGCGGCGGCCGACGCGCGCCCGCTATTGGCTGACGCTCTGTGACGTCACACCTGGGACGGCCGCTGATTGGCTGGCGCCGGGCCGCACCGACGCTGCCGCCCGGCGCGGCCCGTGAGGGGGGGGGGAGGGGAGGGGTGGGTCGGTGATGGTGGGGAGAGTTCGGGAGCTGATTGCCCGTCAAGGGGAGGGGGAGGGAGGGAGGAGAGCCGCCACGAGTGGTCCCGAACTGCCCGGTTTCGTGCTCCAAGGTCACGACGTTGAATTGTTGATTGATTGCAGAGCTGCAATGCGTAGTTTCTGGCGTCGTCTGGCGACCTGCAACTGACAGACACACTGCGGCCGGGATATGGGTCGAGTTGTAGCATTCGAGATTCTGACAGAAATTTGATAAGCCTTTGCTTCGATGTGGCTTGAGGGCTGCTGGTGTGGATAAGACGTTTGACTTAAAGGCTGGGAACAGTCAAACCAGGGCTGCGAAGTCAATGGATTTGCTGCGACTCCGACTTGGACTCCGGCTTTCGAAAACCAACTCCGACTCCGACTCCGTGCAGATGTCTTCTCCCGAACGGTTGAATAAACGGTTGTTATAGCGGTTATATGTAGTAGGTACGTCAAAAACAGCACAAGCATTTCGTCCACCCTTAAAACAATGATGATCAAACATGAAACATTTTCTAAACTGTTCCTTCATAATAAACCTAAGTTCCTTTTAAAACGTGAAAAATATATAAAGCGATGGCAACATCTATATTATGAATTTTACATTAAAGCATGTAAAACATACCTATGTATTAATTTGTCGGCAAAACCACCTATAATTTTCTGATAGGTACGTCATCTTCCAATTAAATCTAAAGCTTTACATTTTCAAAGAAAAATTGACTGATCACTGGGCAGGCTATGTCAGGCATCAGAGTAATGCCATACAGGGCGAGTTCAATAATCGGTGAAATAACAGCGACCTACGCCATGCGTAATTTCGGGGGTTATTTGGCTAAACAGACCCTCAATTCGAGTCAGAATTTAATTCGTTTGAGAATGTCAGCGTGGTAAACGTAGGTAAATATGGATAAAGGCAATGGCCGTTAACTTAAAGGAAGACTGCCACCTTCAAAAAGTTTTCTCAGATCGGCCTATGATTTATTCCCTGGACAAAACAAAATTTTAGAATTCACCTGACAAAGTATCATCACGTGAATCGCGAAAAAAAATTGTCGATTATCATACAATTATCAATCGGTTAATGTCTAGCGACAATGTTTACACATCACTAGACTTCAAGGTCATAAGATTATTACATTTTATTTGAAAAAGTAAGGTATTTTATGATTTACTTATATATGATTTCATAAGAAATTGGCCATGTTTAATTTATTTTGCATTTAAGTTCGTAAAACATTCAAAAATCATGGCTCATTTGGAATGGGTCTGGCCCATGTTAAACCCCATTTCCCACACTTTTTTTGGAAAAAATGAACTACTGAATATATAAGTTTAACTTTTATTTTGACACTCCAAAATTCTTCTCTGATCTCGAAACAATCAAAGTTTTGACATATATTTACCAAAAGATAAGAAAATTCATGTTTCAAAGTTATCGATAAACAGTAGAGATGTCGGTTTTCTTGGACTAAAAAAATGGCATCAAACTGAACTTTGGTCTCCGATTTCTCGCAAACGGGTTCGAATTTCGGAAAACCGACTTCAGTCTGCCCATAGGTGGCTCAGCTCTAGTGAAAACCGTTTTGTGGAAAAAAGGT